ACAAAGAACTTGGTCCTTTGCCCTGGTATAATATACGTACTTATAGCATATATTCGAGTGTCCTTCGATCGTCCTTTTTTTCTCTTTTTATTTACTTACGATTCTATTATAGCTATATTTATATATATCTCTTGATTTAACGTTAAGTATATATCGGAGCTTTTCTTTTTTATATATATTTAGTAACTTACGTAAGGAATCGAACTAAAAGTTAGTCTTTATACCCTTTTTAAATTTGCTTCCTTTACGAAAAGCTATATATTCGGAGTTCACGTTATACGCTAAGCTATTAACTATATGCTTTTACGATGCTTCTTTAAAAAGTATTCGATATACGCTAAGCTAATAATCAAATGCTTTTGCATATGAGCTTCGAAGCTATTGCTTTAAAAGCGATTTTTCTTCGATTTATATCCGTCGAGCATACTATTCGATATACTCGATAAGTATTATTTAAAAAATCGTTATTTTAATTCGAAAATCGAGCTAGCTAAAGTTTAATTCGGTATTTATAAAGTTTTATTCATTTAAATCACTTTATACAACGATACGCTTGAAATATTATTCGTTTAATATACTTTACTTTTTCGATTTAATATCGCTTTTAATATAAGTCTATTGCTTTTTCTTTTTAAAAAAGATAAGCAATAATTAAATATCGAAAATATTACGCTAAGCTTAAGAAATTGAAAATTCAATATTTATTTCGCAACGAAGATTACGTATAAAAACTTCGAATTGCTTTCGAATATCTTTCGCTTCGATAAATAAAAGATACGAAAAGCGGAAATAAATGTTATGCAATTCGAAACCGTTTCGGTATTATATTATATTAAAAGCAAGCTATATGCTTGTATAAAAGCTCGATTATTACTTTACTTCGTTTTTATTTCGATACATTTAATTTCGGCAATTATTCTTCCGCTTATTACGAATCTTGCGTTATAAAATTAAATATATTATTAATATCTATTATATCGATTTAATTTCAATTATTTAGCTCGAAGCGATCGATATTCGACTTTTTAATAAATTATTTTCGACGCATCGAGATCTTATATCTTTATAATATTTTTTTTATATATTTAATATTCATTATAAATTATACTTATTTCATTTCTATTATTCATTTATATTTATATTATTTTCGTTTTTTTTTCGTATTCGTTTTAAAATATATTTATATTTTAATCGATATTTATTAATTTAACTTAACGAGCTTACGTTAAAGCTTTCGAAAATTAAAAAGAGCTATAACTTTCTTGATTTAAAAAGATTTCGGACTTAACGAAAATGCTATTCGCAAGCTAATCGAAGATGAAATAAAAAGGATTTAAGCTTTCTTACTTTTTATAAATGCTTCGAATTACGTAAGTATTCGTAAACTTTTTTTTAAACTTAAAGTTCTTAAAATGCTTGCTTTCGATAAAGCTAATATTACGGATTATATTCGCTAGCTCGAGCGAGCGTTTAAGAATTATAATATCGTTATTAATTCGAAAAAAAAGCAATGCTTTGCTAAATATAATATTTCTAGCTTTTTCGATTATAATATACGTTGCAATATCGAAAGCTTTAACGGCTTTTCAAATCCGAAAGTAATTTAAAACGACTTTAAATCAATAATCAAAAAAAAGTATAAAGCTTTCGACTTAACTAAGTAAAAAGATAGTATTAACTTTTTAAACGACTTAAGCAATAAATGAATAGCAAAAGAAAAAGCTTTTAAAGCGGAGCTTTTATAATTCATTCGATAATTTAATCTTACGAGCTTTGCTTGCTTAGCTAATAAAGATATTATTAATAAGCAATTAAAATAAAAGTTCTTCGGTTGCTTATTATTACCAGGCAGAGGACCAAGTTCTCTGTAATGTCACCAACGGGCTAATTATTCATATATATATTATTAAAAATGGATGTTTATATAATTAATAATTAGCTTGTTAATAATATTACTTTGAACTTGGTCCTCCGCCTAGTATTAAACTTATTAAATAAATCGTAATATAAGACCAAATATATATAAAAGTATTATTATAATAAAAATTAAGGAATTTATAATTTATTATAAAGGGGAGACCCCCTTAAACCCCCCTTTATTATTTATATTTTTATTTTTAAACCGGAGAGACCCCGGACCCCCTTTATTACTTATAATTATATACTTAATTATATTACGAAAAAATCAGAAGTTATAGAAGTTATAAAAGTTACAGAAGTTATAGAAGTTATAGAAGTTATAGAAGTTACAGAATTTACAGAAGTTATAAAAGTTATAAAGGTTATAAAAGTTATAAAGGTTACAAAGGTTACAAAAGTTACAAAAGTTACAAAAGTTACAAAAGTTACAAAGGGTATAAAAGTCATAGAAGTTATAAAGGTTATAAAAGTTATAAGAGTTATTAGGTTCAAGAATATGCATTAAGAAGAGTTTAAACCCGAATCTCTAATCTAGCTGTTAAAGGTGCACTTAGAAAAAGGAGAAAAAAAGGAGAAGAAGGAAGGTCCCGAACAAAAGAAAGAGGTTTACGTTTTTTACGTAAGCTCTTTTTAAACGCAATACACTTCCGAAGACCTTATCGATAGCGAGCATACGCATCCTTAGAATTAGATATTTATACTTTACCGGCCGAAGAGTATGCTTAATACTTTTAGCGAGCAACGGTGCACGCATCGCAAAGCGAGTCTATTAGCTCACTTTTATATATTTATATTAGCTCGAAGTTGCTAAAAGACAAAGAAGGTAAGAGGTTAATGCTTACAATTCGGTCTTTATAATATAGCCGACGTGGCCGATAATAGCACGGCGAAAAGGAAAGAGCTTTAATAAGTCCGATTGCTTATACGACTATTATATACTTGTAGCGGAAAGCGTATATAAGTCCTTGTTCTTCTTTTAAGTAGTCTAAGCTTAAAAGAGACGCGCAAACCCGGCAATCGATTAAGCTTATTTAAGTTAAGCTTTAATAAGAAGGGTCCTTTTACTAACGGCCGGCGAAGACGCAAACATTTATTAATTTGATCAATAAGCATTAATAAAAGATATGAAATATACTTACGCTTATGCTTTATTATAAAGGTAAGATCGGTCCAAAGCTTATAAAGCGAAAGGTAGCAAGTGGCGTAGCAAAGGAAGGCACGGCGGCGGCGAAGAATATAAAAGCTAGAGCGAATATAAAAGCGAAAAGAAAGGCGCTGATTAAAGTCGATAGTACGAAAAAGACGAAAAAAGAAAAAGAAAGAAAGCGAAAGATCATTAGCTTATTTATATCGTCGTCGTCTTCGAATCTATATATATATAATTAGCGTAAGTAGCTCGAATGTATTACTTGATCTTAAAATGACTTACATTGCGAGCTTAAAATCTTTTATGACTTTATCTTTTTTTACTTTTCTTTTAATTTCTTTTATTGCTAAATCTATAACAAAGAGAGAGAGAAAAAGAAGCAAGGCAGCAGCGAGGACGGCGAGAACGGCGAAGACGGCGAAGACGGCGAAGACGGCGAAAACGCTATTAAAAAAAAAGGTAGAAGTAAAGCAAAAGATTATTAGCTCATTCTTATTATTATCGCCGTTCTTATTAAATCTATATATAATATTAGCGTAAGTAGCTAAAGTGTATTATTTACTACTTATACCGCAGGCTTAACCAAGGCAACAAGCAAAGCAAAAGGCAAGGCTTGTTAAGAAGAAGGGAAAAGGTATAAAAGCAGCTACTGCTGCTTGCGAAGTAGTTGTACTTGCCGCTTATAAGCCGGATCCGGCCGACCTATTCGCTTTATATAAAGTCCGTCTCGAAGGTTGCGCTAGCGGAGTGAGATCATATTGTTAATATAATTGTAATTGTAGTTGTGATTATAGCTAAAGTTAAAGTTGAGGTTAAAGTTAAAGTTGATGTTAATATTAACGTTAAGGTTGAAAAGAATATTTAAGTTATAATAAATATTAAAAAGTGATAAACGAATTCACTTTTTAAAAAGGTCCGTGCTTAACTAAATTCTTACACTTGCCGCATTCGTCGGTATAGCAGTATATCTATACAATATTTTATATAATAGCTTATAAATCTTGTGTCTTGTGACTCTTGAGTCTTGTAACTCTTATAACTTTTGTAACTTTTGTAACTTTTGTAATATAAGTAAATTTTCGCTCTTGTTAAATCCATCGGCTTAGCATATATAATTATATAAAATTATTAACGTTATAAAAGTTATAAAAGTTATAAAAGTTATAATTGATTTAACGCAATTAACCGTATAATCTAAATACATTGTTTATCCTTGATCAATTGCCAATAGCTATATAATTACTTTTAATAATAAACTATTAGTGTATATCTTACAATTCGTTGAGCTTATACTCTTTTATAGCTATCAACTGATAAGCTTTAAGCTCGATTTGTGCGTAAGCTTTTAAGCTTTGAATAGCCCTTTTTATACGCTTATCTAAAACATATAAGCGTTAAAAGATCCGTTTGTTACGGCAATAATAACAAGTATATAAGCTATCTAGTTCTTTCTACGGGAACAGACTTAAACAGCTCTAGCAAGATTCGTCCGCTAATTTCGTCGTATATTCCGATATTATCACATCTGTTAAATTGCTAACTAAACCTTTTCGAGCTATATCTCGAATAAAGTACTCTTTAACTAGCTCGTAGCGTCGTTGATAATAGCAATCTAAGCAAATAGTAAATCGCAGACTAATGTTCAAGATAAAGAAGTATAGCAATAAGCGGAAAGTATAGCACTTAACGCACTCGATTTTAATAAGTCCTTTAAGTAGTTAAGCAAGTGCGAGAAGCGCAAGACGCGGTAGAGATTGGTATATCGTATTTATGCTTAAGCCAAAAGTTAAAAAGAATAAAAAAAAAAGCAAATCTAGCGTTAAATCTAATGCTTTTGCTTTAGCTTTAATTTTGTTAGATTGCTCGATCTATACGAAAGCGCGGTGTACATCGAGATCGTCGTATATTTTCTTATCTTTATACGTCGTGTATATGAATTTAAAATAGTCTATAAGTATAAGATCTTAGCCTTTTTTACTTACTTCGCCTTTTCGTTTGCTTTCCGCATCATCTTGTATTTTATCTTTGCTTTAAGCATCATCTTATGTATTATCTTTGCTTTAAGCATTAACTTTAATCTATTAGCTGCTTAAAGCATCGATAAGCCTCTTAAGGTTGATCTTACTTATAATGCGGGTCATTTCGTCGTCACTACCGAAAAGATCGAGTGATTTATATCGCTAGCGTAGCAAGCTGAGTGATAATACGATAAGTGCGCGTTATAGAGTTGCGTAATAAAAGTTATTTGATAAAGGAGTTTTCGATAATAGTATAATAACTTCTTTTTCTTCTTCCTTAATCTCGGCCTCTTTTTTAATCTCGGCCTCTTTCTTAATCTCGGCCTCCTCCTTAATCTCGGCCTCTTCTTCAATCTCGGCCTCTTCTTTAATATCACCCTCTTTTTTAATATCACCTTCCTTTTTAATATCATCTTTTTCTTTAACCTCGCTCTCTTCTTTAATCTCGCCTTCTTTAAGCTCCTTTTCTTCCTTAATCTCTTTTTCTTTAATATAATTAGTAATACTCTTTTTCTCTTGCTTCGTATTCATAATCGCGATAAAAAAAGCGATTTATTGCTATGTATTGATTGATTTTTGTATATCGTAAAAGCAAAGTATTTAAATATAAGCAAAATATTTTACTAAAGCTAAGTGTACGTGGAAATCAGCCTTTGTTTAAATTAAGCGAATAATAAAAGATTCTTATTAGATCTTATAACTTCTATAACTTCTATAACTTTTGTAACTTTTGTAACTTTAATAACTTTTATAACTTTAAAATATAATACTAAAGATATATAATACTAGGACGTATAATACTAAGATATATAACTAATTATTTTACATATTGCTAGTAATTTTTATAACTTTTATAACTTTTGTAACTTTTGTAACTTTTGTAATTAGCGGTAACATTTATATTATTTGTATTTATTTATAAGTTTTACAATCTTTATGCAAGCTGCTTTTAATACACATAATTTGTATCTCGATCAATATTAATACTTATAGCTTTTTTTTTGAAGCGGCAAAAGTCAAATACATTCTTAAACATAACCTTCGCCAAAGTCTTTACCTTAAAAGCTAAAACGTAATATAACCCATAAGCAAATTCAGCTTTAGCTCAATTAATTACTGCCTTAATCAGCGAAATCCTTTAACTTTTATAAACGGTAATTGCGTATACGATTCGAAAAAGAAGTTGCTAGCGATTGCAAAGTTTATTATCGTAAAAGAAATCTCGATCGATAATAAAAACCGAAAACTATCTAGTATTCTTAAAAGTAAGATTAAAATAATCTTCGATATTTATTATAATCCTTTAAAGTAAATCTTCGCGTAGTTTAGCTCTTGCTTTTTAAAAGATATCCTTGACTATGCTTATAAACTTATTAACAACTTTTAACTTTATTTATAAATTTTGATTTAATATAACTTTAGCTTTAATGCAAATATTAATAGTTTATTCTAAGCCTTTAGCTTCCTTTTAATCGGCGTTGTCTGCTTTTGCGCTGCTCGTATTTTTTAATTTAAGTTGTAAAATAAAAGCGTCTAGCTTTTTTAGCTACTCGTAATTGTATTCTTTGACTTTCGCGTTCGTAAAGTAGATACGGAGAGCATCTTTAAAAAAATCTTTATTAATCGGCCGGATATTCATTTTAACTCGAGAAATAAAGAGTTCTTAATTTTCTATCGAAAAGTTATCTTTTCGGAGTTTTAAAAGTGCTTTGCGGAAATTAATAGCTTTTAAGGATTCGCCCTCTTGACGCATAATAACTTTAAATCGAATAGTTTTATTAAATAATCGATAAAAAGACTAACCGATCTTTTGCTCGAGTAAAAAGTTATGAATTATAAATAAAGACTTCTTTCCAATTAGCGGCAACTAGTAAAAATCCTTATAAAAGTAAATATTCAAACCTTTAAATAGCTCTTGAAACTCAAAGAATATTTAAGCATAACGGCGTTAAATCCGAGCGAAGTTTTTTAAGTCAATTATTGACTTTTTATTAATGATTAAATACTTATAGTCTTTGAATTTCGCTTGAAAGGTTTAAAAAGTAGTAAGAGAATTGTTTATAGCATAGTGTTTGATCGGTAGCGCTAATAAAGAATATAATATAGATCTTATAATGCTAAAGGCAGCAACACTTATAAGAGCAGCTCGGATGACTAGATTTGGCTTGCTAGCTTTATCTATTATCTCTTAGAGTTGAACGCAAATAATAAGAATAAAGTAGGTTTTGCTCGTGCTAGCTTTGCTATCGAGATGAATTAGCAGTTATAAAAAGGGTTGGTTTAGCAATATTATAATATAATAGTTTATTATAGAATAGTAGAACTTCTTTTACTCGTCCGAAAGCTTTTTAAGATCACAACTTCGAGCAGCGTTAATTCGTATATTAAACATTCCCGCAGCAGCTTTTTAATCTCGGATATAAGTAAATAAAATATTGTATTTACTAATATATGAATCTTAATTATAAGCAAGATCCCGAAGCCGGTTCGATATATCGTCTTCGTTTATAAAGATAATACGAAGGTTCCGAAAGTTCCGTAAGTTTTATTTTTCTTTTGCATTAATATTATTACGGTTCCGAAGCTTAAAGTTTTTTATATCGTACTTATTATTTGAACTAGCTTTATCTGCTTCGTTAGTTATAAAAAAAGGATCGTAGTAATTTAACGAATGCAAAGAATCGTTATAAGAATCTCGATAAAAGCGCTTGCACGCGTTATACGCTAAAGCAAATGTTGCATACTCTTTTTTAGTAATATTAATAAGTAAATCGTCTTTTGTTCGATAAAAATAGTGCAATATCAAGTAGGTACGCGAGTTATACTCGTAATCGTTATAGATTTTAATATTTAAGTATTAAAAGTAGTAATTAATAATCTAAAGCTTGCTTTTTCGTATAAAATTCTTTTTCTAGCAAGTGTATATGTCGTAAACCTTAAGGAAGTCTAAAAGAATAACATCTTTAATACGATCAAAGCGTTGTCGATAACGCTAAAGGTTAAAAAGTTTAGATTCTAATTTATTTTCGTTTAGCTCCACTTGATGCTTTTTATCTTCATTTAATCGGCAATCTAAATTGATAAATATCCGAGTCGATTTAATTAAACTGAGTCTTAAAAGCAAGTAGCAAACCTCTTAAGCGCTATAGTCCTTCTTTTTTAACAGCTTATTAAGCATCTTAAAGATTAGCGAAAGGGCTGGAGCTTTAGCATTGATATGTTTTAACACTATATTAATAATATCTTTATAAAAGTCGGATTCTTTTTTATGCTTAAAGCAATACTTAAAAGCGTATTTTAAGAGACTCTTGAGGCTGGATACAAGCTGTATATCCGTGTTAGCTAACCAGCTTAATACAAAAACAAGCGAAAAAAGGTTTTGTAAAAGATGATTGCGCTAAGCGGCAAATTGATACTTTCGAGGATTTATTTTCCGATTGTAATCAGCTATCGGCTGCATAAAGCGCTTGTAATAGAATCTGCAAAAAAGGACTCTTATATCTTTGTTTTTGCGTAAATAGTATTTAATTAAATAAACGCGATAGATTTGCATTTGATTAATTAACGCAATAAGTTAATCGACCGTATTCTTAATTATATTAAAAAGTAAAGAAATCGAGTTTTGCAGATCTAATAATCGAGTCGCATTAAAGTTATAAGCGGTAATATAATCTTTTTAAAAGCTAACGAAGTTTAAAATACAAAAGTAATCGTCTTTCTTGAAGTTCATATCAAGTTTAAGCTCGCCCGCATCGTTCGGTTTGCTTTTTAATTAAAATATATCGTAGATATAGCCCGAGCTACGATCTTACTACTTTTATCGCGCTTAAAAATCAATATACGGCAAATAATGACTTAAGATGTCTTATAAAAAGGTTTGCTAGCGGATGTAAATGTAATAAGCAATGATAGCCGGGTTCTCTTAGATATTTTCTTAGATTATTTTAGCTCGCTTAACTTAATTAGCGGCCTTATATTTATTATACCGAGGAAAATAACGCTAAAAGTCTTTTTATTGCATATCCGCAACACTTCAAGTAAGAAAAGCTGCTGTAGCATTTAGCTAAGACTTGGCTAGCGCTTCTAGCTAATAGCCTTGCTTTTTTTAAAAAAGACGAATGCTATTAATAGCTTGCTTATAGCGTACGATCTGATTAAAAAAGGCTGGCTGCTCTTTTAATTAATCTCGCAAACCGTCAATACTTAAGTCTTTAATATCTTTTCGAGACTTAACAAAATAAAAAGATACTTTAACGACTTCGAGTCGCATTAGAATATTAAAAAAGTAAAACCGGAAACGAGAGTAAGTCGCAAAACGCTTATCGTAATACTTTATTAAGTGTTTAGCATATTCTTTTATATTAACTTTTCGGAATCTTTAAGTATAAAAATCGCTTGCGCCGATAAAGAAGAGTATTAGAAAAGCTAAACTAAAGAGCTTTTGATTAGGTCTTAGCTTAAAGATTAACGTAGATCGCTAGCTTAAAGCAAAAGTAAAAATATACTGCTTCGATGCGAGTTTATTAACTTAAGCAAAGAGCTGATTAGATTCCGTAGTATTTAAATTTAAATCGAGAACTATAGTCTTTAAAAGAAGACGCTTTTGATTATTAAGTAAATCATCGTTAGTATTTAAATGATCTTTTAAATCAAGTAAAGCATCTTTATCGTTTGCAAGAAGTTTATTTTCGCTCGAATCTTTTTTAAGATTACCGCGGGCTTTTCAGCGCAAGCGGCGGCGTTTTTATACCGATAATTCTGTAGTTAAAGCCGCTGTCCTTAATAAAAGCTGTTCGAGTGTTTCGTCCTTAATAGTTGTGACCCGTCTTTTTATATCTTTATCTACGAGCAAAGAATCTATTAAGTCTTAGTTTATATTAATATTAATATACTTAAGATTATTTGCTTTTAAAAAAGTAAATTAAATATAAATCGTAAAGCGCCGAACTCAGCATTTTTTTTTGAACTGTTTGCTGATCCGAAAGTCTTTATCAGAACCTTTAGGCTTAAGAATAATCACGTTGACTTTTTTAAGCAGTAAAAAAAGGTTTTCAAAGAATTTAACGTTATTAAAAGCAAAGGTTATTACGTGGCCCGAGTATTTATATTAATGGCTGCGGTAGCGCTAAAGCGATATATTAATATATAATAGTAAGATCAACGCTTTTTTTAATGCCGAAAGCTTTAGCAAGTAATCCGGCATTTTACTTGGGTTTATATTATTATTAGCTGTTATAAAATAAAGCTGCTTAAAAAGATCCGGTTCTTTAATAGATCTATTACGGCGGTCACACTCGTAATAAATAAGATCGCCGCGGATTACTTTTAATCTTATTTCGAATTATCTTTTATTATAGCGAAAGCAAAGGTCTATTTAAATAGCTTTTATAATCGAATGAAAATCCTAGATCATCTTTTATTCTTTTTTATTAACCGCCGGCTTGTATTCGGCTAGAATAGCATACGGTTATGATAAGTCCGAGAGAAAGATAGACTTTTAAAACTAAAAGGTGCGGCGGCGTTTTTGTTCG